AAAGTATTCGAGAAAGTGGTAACGATAAAAAGGGAGCGCGATGGAAAAATGTATGCGCCACAGTAAGCAGTAGCTTGGCCACCCCCAAGGCGTGGTGTGGCGCTTCTACGACGATATGAGCGTTCCGTGCCGAAAGCGCCTACAGAACGGAGTCCCGTTTTGCGGTTTCTTAGTCTTGTTCGTCACTGGCGTACCACTGAGCACCTCCACGTCGACGGGACGATCAGCAACAAAAAGGACAACATTACGAGCCCCAATAGCATTTTGTTTGACAAACTGTTGACGTCGTCTATCTGTTTTACGAGCAGGAGTGGGATAATGTACTTCTACAAGAGAACAACTGCACTTGTCTGTATCAAACATTTGTCACTCTATCCAGACGCTGTTCCTACCAGCTACCACCGAATTACCTGTAAAGAAGCTTCATGAGCAACCTACGATAATTTCAAAGGAGGACCTCGCGATAAGATCGAAGGTCGAAAGAGGGGAACTTACCTCAAAGACAGGCGGACCCCTAAGGGTTGCGGACCGACACGCAATTCGCAGCGAAGGATATGCCCGGCGATCTAGCATGGCCGTCCCCACGAGACTGCAGACGCGGCACGCCCACCGAATGGCTAACCACTCGCCGCAGATCTCTAGCTGTCAGCAGAGAGAACGTCAGCGTTGAAGAGTCGACGACCGATAGTTACGCACCGATAGAGTCGCATCAATGCGAAAATCAACGGGCAAAGAAGGGGTCCCATTTCTCGGGTTCTGAGCCGTTTCTCATGGTTTTTCTTCATCCCTGCACCACTGACCACCTCTACTTCGATTCTGATGAGCTGTCTTTTATCGTCAACTTCGCCTTCAAACCTCATCATATATCATGATGACCAAGGCTGCCATAGGTTTGGGACATTAGGTCCCACAACTTTCACTCTTAGCGACATGTCCAGTTTTCACTGGTTGTACGTTGTGATAATATCGTCTGAAAGTGCAGGGCACTTGCATTCATGGTATTTCAAAGAGAAAAGGAAGTGCAATGATTGAATTATCCGTAACACTTTCACATATGATAAAAATTCAATATAAACAACTGATGGTGGCTGAGAGCCCTACTACACCATTCTCACTAGTGAAAAGGATGAACGAATCAAAAATGTTGTTTGCCCTCGCGACACTGTTTTTTCCGCTGGTGAACGCCTACTTCTTTGTCGGTGAGTCAAGTCTCT